CCCTAACAACCCCCCCCCCTCTTTTAAAAAAAAATATTACTATGATTTTCCCCTTTGTTTCCTGCCTCCGTCATTCGCAGTCGCCCGAGGGGACGGAGTTATGGGATCCCCAGGCTGTCCAGCAGCCTGCTGAGGACATTCTAGGAGCCCCCTTGGCAGCCAGCAGGCTTGGGGGTTCCGTTCAGGTACATAAAGAGGGATGGGGTGGGTGGTGGGAGGTGGGGTGGGTGACCCACCTGCTGCTGCCGGACCCCAGCCATGCCGTGGAAGTCTACTCAGCTTTCTCCCCCCCCGTGACTCTCTGTATGTCCAGTCATTGTGGCATCGGTTTGCTTTTCAGTCCTGTTTTGACGGCACGTGGGCCATTTCAGAAATACTGAAATGCAGTTTGTCCTGCCTTGGAAATAGATAGTTTACCTTTCTCCTCGTCGCTCATTCTGCTTGGCTCCCAAAAATTGTGTGGGAAGAGTAAAAAAATACAATTCTTTTCTTCCATAATGATTCTTGTTAAGGAATCAGGTCTGTTTGGCCTCAGGAGGTGAACTTTACAAAAAAATTAGGGAGGAGAAGGAAAGGGGTGGAGGGGGGAAAGGGAGGCTTAACCATTTGGAAGTTTAAATCGATAAACGTATTTGCCAGCTTAAGAAGAAAATGTTAAAACCATACTCGGTAGGTCAAATTTCTACAAAAAGCCACTTGTAGAAATTTAAGAGAATCTACTAGCAAAATCTTGTGAATATAGATAGGAATAGAAACCATGCTTAAAGCTGAGGTGTGTTCCTTGTTTTTGCTGTGTGATTGTGTGTGTGTGTGTGTGCACGCATGCACCACTTCAACGCAAGAGTGGATTCCAGTTCAACCATAAGAGTATGTAGAAAAAAAAATGGTATAGACGTATATGTACAGTATGCATTCCATTCTGTTCTTCTGCTCTGCCTGTCATTGGTCCCTTAAGTCCCATCTGCTTTTGGAGATGCAAAACTTCCTCACCAGGACAAAGAAAGAAACCCAAATTTCTGGATTTGCAGATGTTCATTGCTTTCTGTTGGGTTTCATTTGGGTTTGTCGAGCCAGAAATCTTCACAAAGGCCCATGCTTTCTACAACCTGGAAATCTCATCTGGGTACTGAATTAAATATTGATTTTAATCTAATTTGCATCTTAATGTCCAAAGTTTGTTCATAGCAAGGTCTGATGTGTATTTTGTATCTCTTTGGTAAAGCTTTTTAGCAAACAGTACCAGACATTTAAATTTTGGGGCAAGAGGGAAAAGAACAGTAGGCAACATGCTGGGTGCAGCTACCCTTCTTCATGTTTAGGTGCTCTGTAAACTTGCTTGCCGGGCTGTTCTACCTTCACGAGAACTAGTCACATTAAAATAATAATGATTATACAATAATAATAATTCTAAATTTATCGGATTTCAACATTCTGACACTAGAAAAAAAACACCCTACTTGGAACAGCTTATATCCTCCGGCGTTACCTTAACAGTTCCAATTATTATTAAATTATTACTATTATTATTAATAATTATTAATTAATATTAACTAATAAATAATAATATATAATAAATAATAATATATAATATAATAATAATATAATAAATAATAATAATATAATAAACAATGTATAATAAATAATGTATAATAATTAATTAATATTAATTAATTAATATTAATAATTAAATTATTATTATTAAATGAAATAATAATTTCATTAAATAATTATTAATTAAATAATAACTATTATTATTATTATTATTATTATTATTATTATTATTATTATTATTATTATTATTATAAGATGACAGAATCAAAGTAGTTGATGTAAGACTAGTGACAATCGTTTACAATGGATGGATTTTAAATGGTGGGATACTTGGATGGCCTGTCTTTGTATGATAGGAAGTTTAACTAATTCACATCTGTGCTGGATTTCTAGCTCTCATGGCCAAGTATGTTAGCTTCTGTCTTTTCTGTGTCTTTGTCCATGGTTGCCTCTTCCATCTTCCCCCCCTCCTCCCACCGGGCTCCTGTGTGCACTGCTTTCCCATCTGATGCGCATCTGTGACCAGAACCAACTGTTGCTTAATGCGAGAGTCTGTACCCTCATAAGCAGAGGTGGGATTCTACTGGTTCGGGCGAACCGGTAGCTTCAACGATCAGTACATGCTCACCGAACCGGTTGTTAAACCGGTAGGATCCCACCACTGCTCATAAGACAGGAACCGAAACCGTACATTGAACTGGGTCGGCAACCCCAGTAATGGATGTTACTGGTACAGCTGCATTGGTGCAGCTGTTAAGTAAAACCTTGTGTCAGCATTCCAAATATCATCCAGAATTAAATCAGAGTCCAAGGCTTAGCTTTCATCAAAGTTCCAATTTAATAAGAGAGACATGTTGGTACAATCTGTGGAAACCAGAATCTGAAAGCTGCCTGGGGTTTCCACTCAGTTGAAAGTTCATGATCTTGGCCCCACACCCAAAAGTCCATCACATGGTCCAATCTTCCTCTGCCACCCTGGAATTTCCACCCATCTAGTTCCGGTCAGGTGCAGAGGTGCTGACCTTGGGCTTCT